AACCGGAGACTCAGAAAACACAGACTTCATTAGCCACGCTCTGAGGATGTTGACGGATAACATGAACTCTAACCGAATAGTGCTATCAGGATGAAGAGAGGGAGAACTTGGTACCATCTGAACAAAAATCACAAGGTAGCAAGGGAATGTGACATGTAGATGTCTGGAGCAAGAACATTCATGCTAAGAGGACAGCCAAGACTGTGTCCCCGAGGCAGAAGTGTACTGTACCTGGCTTTCCTGGAGGAGGGCATAGAGGTTGGAGCACACTGCAGTCGGAGGCAGGGAGTCAGTTAGCAAGTCTCAACTTAGGAATGAATGGTGCTGCTCTATATAACGATAACCACTTTGAAGTATTAATTTTGGTCCTAGGAATGCTGTCTATTAACTGATAACACATTAACTGGCACTCAGAACAGTTTGTTGGTAACTGTTTAGTTCAGCAAAACTAATAAAAATGATAAAAAAATACTTTAATAGAAATGTAAGATTCCACTATTGGGCCCACTTAGATGATGTTGATTGATGGACAGAAATCAAGGGCCATGGGGCTGCAGATATGACTAGTAAGAACCGTGTTCCTGGTTTGATGCCCAACACCACATAAACCAGGCATCGTGGTACAGGTCTACAGGTCTACGGTCTAAGCACTTAGGAGGTGGAAGCAGGAGGATCAAAAGTTCAAGGTCATCCTCATTTACACAGCAAGCTTGAGTCCAGCCTGAGCTACCTGAGACCTCGACTCAAAGACAAATCAACAAACAAAAAACCCCAGAACTATGACGTATTTCCTAACAGTGACTTGAGGCACCTATTTCCCAACTTTCTTAAATGTACCTCTAACAACTGTTCATTTAGCACTTATGTTCTTACTGAACCCCATGTAACAAAGGATATGGACAGAGATATTCTGGTACTTTCTAGGAAGGCAAATGTTAATAAAATTCTTAAATATGTGCGCTCAGGGGGGTAAAGGCTATTGATACCAGTCCTGATGACCTAAATTCAATGCCTGGAGTCCCCATGGTGGGAAGAGAACAGACTCCCAATAGTTATCCTGTGACCCCCATGTGCGCGCGTGCACGTGTACACACACACACACACACACACACACACACACACACCACATACCTGTACCAATTCCTTTCCCAGATTCATTACCTGTGAGTTTGAGTTTGGGGGCCCATTTAGTTTAATGAGGGTCAAGTGTGTGACAAGTGGATCGGGACTATGCAGCTGCTGGAGACTGGCCCAGTCAAGAGTGAGGACACAACTGAAAGTCACTGACTTCTCCCTCCCTGGATCTGCCAGCAGCGAAGAGTTCAGCAGTGGCCGGGCGGTGGTGGCGCATGCCTTTAATCCCAGCACTCGGGAGGCAGAGGCAGGCGGATCTCTGTGAGTTCGAGACCAGCCTGGTCTACAAGAGCTAGTGCCAGGACAGGCTCCAAAGCCACAGAGAAACCCTGTCTCGAAAAACCAAAAAAAAAAAAGAGTTCAGCAGCGAAGGCAGTGAGCACGCTGCAGGTGCACAAGCCTAAGCCAGATAAAGAGGAACCCTATTGTGTTAGGCATTCCCCCCCCACACTCATTACTGTAACAAAATGCCCGACAAAAGCAGCTTAAGGAAGGAAGGGTTTATTTTGGTTTACAGTTTGAAGCAATACATACAGTTTGTCACAGCGGGGGATGTCACAGCAGCAAGGCTCACAGTCAGGAAGCAGAGAGAGATGAATTTTGGTGTTACACTCTATCCTTTCTGATCTGTCTGTGACCCCAACTCATGGAATGCTGCCTCCCACATTTAGGGTAGCCCTTCCCTCTTCAGTTAAACTTCTTGGGAAGTACCTTCATAGAGACATATCCACAGGTGTGTTTCCAGGGTGATTCTGAATCCAACCAAGTTGACGATCAAGATTAACCATCGCTAATCTACCCCTGGCCAACCTGATCCCCAAAAACACATCACGACATCATAGCATTCCGCCTCTGGCCACTAATATCTCATTTTCATCGCACAATTCAAAATGCATTTAGTCCTTCTCTAAAGCTGCCCAGTCTTTTAACAATTTGAACAGGGTTAAACAGTCCAAAGTCTCATCTGAGAGCCAAGGCAATCTCTTATTTGTAAACTTCTAGAAAATCAACAACTTACAAAATTTCAATATACACTGGCAATGAATAAACATCCCCATTCCCAAAGGGAAAAATGAAGAGTGCAACAAGGAAAGAGGAGACCAAAGAAAAGAGCAACACCCAGCAAGGCAAACACCAAATCCTGCAGCTACATGTCCGGCATCTGCAGCTCATAATGGAATCATGTGGGTCTCGAAGGGCTTTGGGGGTCCCAGGTCTCCAGCTCTGTCTTCGCTCGCTCCTCTCCACGCTTGCAGCTTCCCTCCGGTGATGACCCACAGTTCTGGCACCGCCACCATCTGGGCTCCACACCGAAGCTTAGCTTTCACTTTCACATCTTCACATAATGGCTTCTCCGGGCTCACCACTGTGACTTCAACCCTGCTACATATCACCTGCTCTTCCGGGAACTCTAGTGCACGTCTCCAAGACCCTCTCCGTCATGCATCTTTCAAAGCTGTCTGCCACTACCATGTGGGTGACATTTTGCAAAATTCTGCTGTGCTGGCTTCCATAGACTACAGGTATATTGATGTTTGTGTGCGGGCCATGGGGAAAGGTTCCCTGGGTAACTGCTTTCTACAAGTAGGAGACTCCTTCAGCAATATTCTCAGGTTAGGTTTTCTCCTTTCAAATGAATTCTCATTTTCACAAAAGGGAGTGTTTACTGGGGGGGGGGGGGTTTGCTTTCAGAAAACCATCAGTAATGTCTAATCCAGAGCACAAGGCTTCTCGTTAATGTTGCTAATCTCTTTTCATTCCAGCTGCTTTCTCTGCATCTGCCTTGCCTGCACCTTTACCCTCATTTCTTTCCCCACCAGGTTGACACGTCTGTCTTCTTTTGCCCCATGCGTGCTTTCCCTCACTGGAGACCTGGATGACAGCAGTAGTCAGTAAACATGACACAGTCCGAAGGCAACCGAGCCTCAGATTTCTTCCACCAAGCCAACGACTCCATTAATTTTGACACTAGCCTCACTTGAGTTCCCACGACATAGCCCTGATGACATAGATTGATACCAGATTCTGTCAGATTTTCACACAAATGGCCGGTAGCTCAATTCTCCATAGTCCCCTTTCCTCTCCAAAACTCCACGAGCCAGATGCCACTGTCCGCTCTTGTCTCGGCATCTGAGTTTTCAAAACGCCACCAGAACTGCCCATTCAATTCTGCTTACAGCACTCCAAGACTTCTCTGGCTCAAAGTTCCAAACTCTGAACTTTTCAACCCGTTCCAAACGCCTATGACCCACACGGTCAGGCTTAACACAGCAGCCCCACTTCTCAGTCCCAATGTTCTGTATCAGCTCCTTTTGTGCTTGCTGCGACAAAGTCCCTGAGAAAAGGGTTTACTTTGGCTCACAGCTTGATGGTCCAGTCCATTATGGCAGAGAAGCCGCGGCAGCAGGAACATGAAGCCACTGGCAATACATATGCATTACACATGCAGTCAGGAAGAAGAAAGAAATGAACGCTGGGATCTCACTTACTTTCTCCTTTTTACTGCATCACAGACCCTAGTCCATTGCATGGTGCTGATCGTGAGCAAGATGGGTCTTTTCCTCTTTAGTACAAACTTTGCTGAATCGGTACCATAGACACACCAAAAGTATGCTTCCACAGTGATTCTAAATCCATCACATTGACAATTAAGATTAACAATCTTACCTACCAGGACTTTGAAGGCTGTTCCAATCAGTCCCCACAAACCTGAATCTGCACTAGCAACTAAATGCAGAAAGGAAGAGATCTACACTCGGGCCACCTGGAAGGTAGTGAATCTTAGTAGTCAGTGAGGCACAAGGCACTTTAAAGAAACCATTTGTAGTTAAAAGTCCTTGAAGCTCCTATTTTTCATGACCGATGACCTTTGGAAAATAAAGTCAACTGAACTAAGCCATAAGAGAAGGCAAGTGCTATGTTTAATGCTTTCATGACATCGGTATCCTTTCCAGTCACTGAAAGTGCTCTAAACCAGAGAGGGGAAAGGCATGCACAGTAAAATGAAGATGAAAAGGATGACTGCAGAGCACGGCAGCTGGTAAACTTGGGAGAAGGATAAACGTGTGTTGGGCCCACTAGGGCCCACAGAACAGCCACACGGCATAGAGTCACAGTGACTTCTTATAACCACCAAAAGTCACGATGCAAAGAGAGGCCAAAGCAAAAAAGCGAGGGGCAAAAGGGTACAAAGAGAAAACAAGGGAAACAGTTGTGAGTGAGGGTTACCCCCACTGCTGCCCTGCAATAAAAAGAACAGGGAAGGCCAGGGCAAAGTTTCTCTTGCTTCTTTCAAACAAAACTGGCAAAGCTTTATTTAGATCACCCAAAGTAACATTTTATAGAAAAGGAACTATAACATTACACGGCAGAGTATGGCTGTAAAATCTCAAACAAGACAGGCAACGCTTTACTTAGAGCAACAAAAATAATGTCTCTGAGAAAGGGAACTGCTAAAAGCAATGCATAGTTGCAAGTTCTCCTTTGCCATCAATATCAATTCCCTCTAAAATACTTTCAGAGTACTTTGTGGCTTCCAAGCACAAACTAAGATCTGTTGAACAGAAAACAGTTTTCAAAACCATTTTGTTTAACATTAACAAATAATCAAACAACGTGCTTCTTGCTAACAACCAACCGCAATGGCTACCAGAACAATGTTTAACCTAAGTATCTGTTCATGAACGTTTCCCTAAGAATACAGCTCTGGCTGTTTTTATCCTGCGCGCACATACAGTTTGTGCAGCAGTGTTACTTTGGAACACGTTCAGACACCCAGGAAGTAATCATGACACCCCCCAAAAAAAATCAAATCATTAATTAATTAATTAAACCAATTCCTCCTATAGGCATGTTCCACCATGAGCAACTCAGAAGAACAGAGCCTGCTCTGTCAGAGAACCCCCAGGGGAAGTCCACCATTTCATTCACGCTTCACCTGGAACCTAAAATATAAAGCCACATCGTACAGCTATTTTTCCCAAACCATGGAAACTTTAGTAAATTGCCCTGGGGTTCTTGGTGCTGTAGTGTGCCTCACAGGCAGCAACATATGCTGACTCCGGGAAGAAGTCATCATGGTATTCTGCTAAAAACCTAGAGAAAGAAAGAAGGCACTAATGAGCATCGTACTAAGAACTGAACACTCTGCAGCTCAGTATTCGCTTATAACCAGCTTTCGCATTTCAACTCCCGTGTGTACTAGGAAGGGAGGCTGTTTCTAGTCTGGATTCTATTTGATTACTTCCACAGCACTCACTGAACTGGTTTCTGTCAATCACTCTGCATCCAAATCTCTTCATCAGCAGTGTTACGGAAACAGAACCTGAACTTGATTAGTCTGATTACATACATGCATCTGTGAAAAATACCCTCAATAAATACTTGCCTGTTTTTCAAACTCTAAAAACAATACATGACAAATCCAATAAATGTCCCTTAAGAAATTCACAGGGCTTATACACACTAAGTTGGTGGTAGGGCCTTGGTCCTGTCTCAACAAGGTGCTGGGACAGATTTGGTTGACTTCCCAGGGGAGGCTTTACCCTCTCTGAGGAGCAAATGTGGGTGGGTAGGGGGAAGGTGGGGGAGTGGGAGAAAAGGAGGGAGGGGGAACTGGGATTAATATGTAAAAGAATAATTAAAATTGAAATAATTAACCTGGCATTAATAAAGAAAAACAAGGGGAAAAAAGTTACATCCAAACTGAACAAAAAAGCCAATACCAGCACTTTACATACGAATTTGCCATCCCAAGAGGTTAGTTATAAGTCTGGATGAGAGCCCAACAACATGTCAAAAGACTGGGATGCCTGTAGATGGCCGTTAAAGTGTGGCAAGTCACTCAAGAATCTGCAATCCACTGATGATGGGCCCTCAAGTGAGAGTCAGGCATGGCGGCTCAAGTCTGTATTCCAAGCATTTAGAACTAAGTTGTGACACTCCATCTCCAAAAACAAAACAGCACCAAAGTAAAGCAAACACACCCACGAGATAAGAAACAAAACAAATATTCCAAGTGAACCCGGCAGCAGTGCCGGAAGCACACACTCTGCTATCTCGCACCTGTCCGAATTCCTATTCCTAAACTGTCACGTCTCTCTAAATAAGAAAGCACTGTCAAAAGTCATTTACTAGCTAAGTGCTTTTCTCTGTTTGCACCTTCTTGAAGGTCACTGTTTAGTTCATTGATTTGAACTGTTGCCACTGTCTACTTCTTTAAAGAACAGTTTTATTTACTCTTTGACAACTTCATGCAACAGACCTTGATCATATCGAACCCCAATCTTCCCTCTCATACCTTGGGTACATTTGAAAAGCCTTTTCCTACGTTTATTTATAAAATCTTCTATGTTGTTCACTAAAGTCCTAACTTCTGCTTTATATGAGGAATACTGCAAAATCTGCACGCTTCCCTATACTAAACTGCAGTTTTAGCACTATTTGCTTTCGGTGCCCAAAGTTTTATGGTAAACAGGACTGTGGGTTACTCTGAAAAGACATTTTGGAGGGAAGAGAGTCTTTTTAAAACTTGTTTTCACTAAAAGGTTGGAAAGTCTAATTATGTTCAAGGACGTGCTAGTCACAATCCCTACAGGAAAATCCCTTTTCAGACTTTAATTTCTCTGGGCAGAGTACTCTCTACTCTTGAATATCCTAGACCAGGCAGAATGCAGCCCATTAGACAGAAAATGGCTACCTTTAAGTTCTAGTAGCTAAGCTGAGCTGGGTGAGGCAAGGTGAAGGCCAGCTTTGAAGGCCAAGGTAAAGAGGCAGCTAACAGACATCTAGATGGAAGAGAGGGACAGTGCGAGAAAAATGGGCATAAGATCCACAGATGAAACATTCCGTTCGATAAGAAAATGACTGGCTATATCAGGTGAAGAAAGCCACACCTTTCAGAATTCAGAAACGTCAGTATATACTGAGTCATATTTAAGTTAGGAACACACAATTAACTTAGGTACACACAACAAAAAAAAAAAAGGCCACTATTTATGGTACTCCTGAAGAGAAAACGTAAAATTAATGTCAATCTTAAGTACTTCTACATAGGAAAAGTCATTTTCTGCTTACAAGGTTAGCCTCCTGGATTCCTCTAGTGACATGATACATACCTCAGTATCCTTGCCTCAGAAACTGGAGAAATGAAGACTAAAAGAAACACAAAACCAAGCAGCAAACAAACAAAGATCCTGCCCTACTTACCCTATCAGTCAGAACACACCCCTCCCCACAAAATGGAAAATACCACAAAGCTACTTTCCCTGCGTGCTAAAGTTAAGCCTAGAAAACTCACGTTTGCTGGCAGAGGTAGGTGTGACAAGGTAATAAAAATACCTCAGAAAGAGATCAAAGTGCTTCAGTAGCGCCTTCAGATTCTTCTCCGAGAAGGACATCTTCGCAAGGATTTCTGGAAGTTTGACTGGATTAAAAACAAAAGCATTTGTAATCAGCAGAAGGTTAGGATGGAAAGGACTCACTGTGGCTCATCATGTGAGTACTCTTTCCCCTTCGGGGACTGAATTCCCACCTGGAGAGTCAAACAGTGAGTTATTGAACAAGCACAGTAAGTACAACTTTTATGAAATTTAAGGTACATCCAATGTCTTTTCTTTGAAGCAGAAACCGGGTATCCACATTAGTTCAATGCTTACAAGATGTCTACAATCTAGTGACCCTGGTTAAAAAAAAAAAAGAGTCAAGAAATATGAAGCTGCTAGAGCTGAGGGTATCATGAGGCCCCACTTCAGTCTGACCATCTATAAATCTATAAGAGAATGGTTGCTAAGAGGGAGAGACATTTTCTCCAGTGGTGAAGCCACTGGTAAACTGCTCTTGTTTTCCTCCTCACCCATGCACTTAGAAAGAACTATAATGAAACTCAGTGAGGGGGGCACACACACATATACACACGCCATGGAAATAGAAGGACAAGTAGTAGGGACTAGAGAGATAATGGGGGAAGTGACTATGATCAGCATCATTCTATAAACATATGAAAGGATCAGTGAAAGTCACTATCGTAGGTATTTAATAGATGCTAATAGAAATGAAAACTAGAACGAAGACAGAAAGAACAGGGGTTCTTACCAAATAATCGCAGCAAATGCTGTGCTCCGTAAATGTATGAAGGGGGAGGTGGATGGTCTCCTAGCGGGTAATTGTCAGGCACAAGTTTCCAAGATAGGACCTACGAAAAACACGATGTGAATGCTTCCTTTATTCCAAATGGAGACACTTCTAGATACCTACTGGTAGGATACCAAATGGAGACATCTTCTGATAGTAAATCATATGGAGAGAATAAAACCATACTGCTACCCAATGAACACAAGAATATAAAAATAAATGTGAGGGCCAGAATGACTCAAAATTAGACTAAGAAGATACTGGATTTTAAACTTTTCTACATCTACTATTTTCTGGAGAGACATTCCATAATGATGGAGAAGCCATACTGGCAGGATCAGGAGCCTAGCTGCTCACACTGCATTAAGTTAGGAAGCTGAGAGTGGGCCAGCAATTGGCCAGTCTATAAAGACTAAGGTCTCAGCCCTGTGAGCCATTCCTCCAGCAAGCTTGACTTCCTAGAGGCTCCACAGTCTCTCTGGACAGCATCACCAGCTGGGGAGCCAGAGTTCAAACACTTGAGCCTCTGGGGGACATTTCCCATGCATACCACCACAGTCACTTAGCCCCTTTTCCTTTATCAGGAAACACTAGCAAAAGTATCGGGAGTCCCTGGTTCCTTGCTATTTGCATCATTATGGAAACTAATTTGAATCATCTCAGAGTTCCAACTTGGTCATTGGTTTCCTGATTTTCAGAACTATGAATGGACATGGGGCTTTGCTTAAAGTGAGAGCTGTCTTTCGCAACTCTGATGGATTTTCGCAGTACCTTCCTCAATCAGCAAACCAGCTTTTATTAAAGTGTGCGTCTAATCTATTAACATGGAAGAACCAATGGTGCAGGAAATCCTCTATGAGAAAAAGCTGAAGGGTGCCCACCCCCCAAGACATCAGAGATGCTGGCACAGTCGACCTGAAATAAACCAGACATTCACAGTCCTGTGGGACTCCAGGATGACGGCCCCAGCTTCATTTCAGCTCCTTGGAGCCTTCATGTAAATTCCCTATCTCATCCTTGGCAGCCAGTACAAGCATCTTCACACCAATCAGAAATCTAACCCAGCTCCCACAGGGGAAGCTTAGAACTGCTTTGGCATTGAGTGTGGACCAGAGGGCGCAGATAGGCATCTGCAATTAGTACAAGTTCTCAATAGGAAACCCCTGTGCATCTTAACGAGCAATGTTTTCATCCAGACCCTTCCCAATCAGCAGCTAGTAATAGAAGAAAGAAAGGGTTATAATGGATTTGGATAAATAGTCTTGGTTAAAACCCACTGTGGAAGAAGTCCTAGAGGTCCTTAAAGTCACGATGGATTCTTTGGTCCCTAGAGCCTGCTGAATGCCACTGTTTACCACAAAGCGGCCTGTTCTACCATCAACCACTAGATGGCAGCACGCACCTATGTGGAAGTGGCCTTTGCTTTTTTTTTTTTTTTTTTTTTTAAAGGAACTAGAGTAGCTGTGGGAGAGAGAGGGAGATGAAAGAAGGGACTGAGAAGAGTGGAGGAAGGGGGACTGTGGGGTCAAGATTTAGTGTATGTGAGAAGAGTCCAATTTAAAGAAAAAGAAATGTAAATACCATTTCCCTTAAAACATAGCCTGTAGTGGCAAGGCTTCAAGTTAATGGGCTTAAAGTCCGGCCCAAGGGCGACATTCAGCATGCTCTCAAAGGGATGGCTATTAAGGTTACTGTCCGTGGATGAGAATCAATGTCAAAAGTGAGTCAGAAACTACAGCTTGCTGCTCACATCTCATCCAACTGTCCGTGTGGATTTCTATATTGCCCCAAACTACGTTTACGCTTTTTGTTGAGGGCTGAACTGCTCAACCAGGAGCCTCTTCCTGAGGTCTGATGTAAGTATGGAGAAGGAACAGTTCAGATTCTAACAACCCAACTCTGCCCACCACGGGGATTATGGTTGTCAGTCTCAAGGTCGCCGTGTACTTGGTCTGGAATGCTCTTAAGAGAGCCTGTACTCCCTTTGTGCAACACTGTTTGCTTAGCTTCCCACTAAGTCCACTGGGTGAGTTTCGGCTGACTTTGTCCCATTGTATTTCTTAAGGCGCTTGTGTGGTAAAACACACAGCCTGTGAAAGAGCTCCCAGTTGCAATCCTTATCTTCTCTTTGTCTATCCTCTTTATCTTCTGGATCTCCTGGTCCTCTCTCGTAGGACTCGTAGCACCTAAGAACAACCTTTAAATGATTTAAAGCTAAAAGGCTATTTTTAGCTCTTGCATATCATATGCTGTTCACATTTCAGTGTCCGCGACAATGGTTTATTGATGCACGGTACATCTACCTCATTTACATATTGGTTGCGGCTACTATGCAGTTAATTAGTCTTCATAGGCATCACGTGACATACAGAACCTAAAATACATACTCTCAGACTCTTCAGAATAAAAGTATAAACGACTGATGTGTTATACAGAACACAGACACACAAGTCTTTCAACAGCTAAACAATCTTTGTAGGAAAAAGTCATTCGACTTGTAAAGCCGGAGTCCTGGCGGTTTTCTCAGATTTGAAACCAGAAACAGACTAATAAGCAGAATCCTCTGTATCCTTTTGGTGCTATTTCTTGTAAAGCAACATAATACTACAAGACTTAGGATTGTAAGCAACAACAATGGGTAAGAGAACTCTTGGAGCTGAACATCAAACACTCTACCTCATTTATTTCATTGGTTCTTCTCCCTTCGAAGCCAGCAAATGCAGCACTCCCTTCCTTACTTGGAGTCAGAGGAACGGGGGAAGATGATCTGCTATGCACAGGCGTCTCTGCCAAAAGAGAAAGTCACAATTATTTACCCATAAAATTACAGAGTGACCGAACTAGAGGCACTCCTCAGGACCCCGAAAACCACTAGACTACCAATGTAAATCAGTTCTCAACAGCTACAAACCTTCACCAATATGGCCTTCATCTTTATAACAGATAGCACCTGGAATATCATTTTTAACATGGTACAAGATAAGTCAACCTTGCAAAGGTTAAGCTAAGCTGAAATGGGCCCATCATAGAGCCACATATGTAGAATAGGCAAATCTGGGGATAGAAAGGAGATGTATAGTTCTACGAAGGCATGGGTGGGGTGACTGTAAATGGGAATGGGTTTTTTCGGGGGAGAACTTCCCATGTTTTGGAACCAATTGAGAGAGGGCTGGACAACTGTTAATACATTAAAAGCCACTGGATTGGACACGTTAAATGGGAAAACTGGAGTGTGGATTATAGCTCAACAAATTTAAAAAGTAGAGCCATTAAATTAGTCACTTTAAAATGATTAACTTGGATGGGGGAGATGGCTCCAAGGCTAACAGCACTGGAGTCTCTCCATTTGCCAGCAGCCACATGGCAATGGCAGCTCACAATTCTCTCTAACTCTGTTCCAGGGATTCTGACACATCATTGGTGCCTGAGGACACCAGGCACCCCCACGGTATGCAGCATAGATGCAGGCAAAACACCTATCCTCATAAAATAAAAATAAATCTTGAAAAATGTATATAGCTTTATATGTGCTTTTGCCTAAATCAATAATGCCAAAACAACAACAACAACAAAAAAAAACAACACTGGAGTAGGCTGGGAGGCAGGGAGATATAACTTCCTGTTTTAGAATTTCTTTTAAAAAAGCATTTTATTTCCCAAGAAAACCATCCCAGTTTTCACTCCATTAACTTATTAATCATGTACATACAGTTTACATTATTAAATTTACATAAAATGTCTGAAATAAACAAATCTAAAGTGCTACCTAGATTGGTGCTTTCCAGGGGAGGTAAGGAAGGACATGTGAATGGCTGCAGATGTTCTGTGAGGAAAGCATCTGAGCTGATTTTAGCGATGGCTGCACCATTCTAATTATACCAAAAAAAAAAAAAAACCACCTGGAATGGTGAATTTTCCAGCATATGAAGTATATATCCAAAACTCTGCTAAACCCAGATTTGGATACTTTACTCAAGTTTTGGAAACAGGAAGAGAAATGTAACAATCTACTAGCACCTTTTCCCTGAGTATTTCAATATCTCCACCAGCTCACAAGTAGCAGAGAGGAAGTGTGGAAAGCAGCCGTAAACAGGGAGTCCAGACCTGCTCCTCAATCCTCAGAGCTACCCAAGCCAGTTGCTTTTCCATCTTCCTATGGATGTTTTCCTCTTCTTCAAATGAAGTAGCCTTCTAGCATTTGGCTGAGGTCCCAGGAATAGCATACCCTTTACATACACTTAGGAAGGTTCAAGGCAAAGGAAACAGTGGCTTTCCCCAGCCTGGGGATCTTATAGCAAACTCACTCTTTTCCAAGTGCAGAAACAGTTTTGGCATGTTGGTAGATGTGTCCTGCTGCCGACGCTTCGGCTGAGGTGAGGAGCTACTCTCCGACAACCTGTCACAGTTGGTGCTATGGCGCGTGGACCGCCTTAGAGACTGCAGGGCCTCTGGATCGGCTTTGCGCCTCTTGGGAGTGACTGGTTCACCGCTAGTTGGTTGGCTCTCGGTGGACTGTGGTGTGGATGGGTTCAACAAAGGCGGGCTAGGAGACAGCTCCTCCTGGCTCCTGGGCAAGAAGGACAGAGTCACTGGCAGTCTCGAAAGTCTTCTGTAAGACCTTTGAAAGGCAGGTTCACAAACCAGCCTGGGAGGGGCATATACCCCCAAGTATACTCAAACATCCATTTTCTTAAACAGTCCCTGAATAGATGAAGTCACTATAACTCTGCAAGGCAAGCTGTTATTAGAAACGAAAACACCATGTCTATATGTTTTAGAACAAGCACTTTTGTGGGTGGGGGTTGGCCCTAGCCCAGAAAATAGTTACCAGTGTCTGGTGATATTATAGGGTTGTCACAACTGTGGGAAGATATACTGTTGTCTAGTGGCTAGAGACCGGAGATACTGCTAAGTGTCCAACATCACACAAGATTGGCCCTAGGACAGAGAAATTCTGGTCTAGGGAATAAGACTATCATGAAATGTCTTCAAAATGTATAACTTGCCAGGATGTGAAAACGGCATAAGCATATTAAAGTCGACACCAGACTCTGGGAATCATCAGGTGTGAAGCAGGTCACTCATGACTTCAACATAGGTCCTCAGTATATTTTGCTGGCCTCTTGCCTGAGGTGAAAGTGACCTGGGGAAAAGAGGAGGGAGGGAGGGAGAGGGAGGGAGAGGAAGAGGGAGAGGGAGGGAGAGGAAGAGGGAGAGG